GCAAATATGTTCATTTAAAGAACATTCCACGTGACTACACTCTTGAGGATTGACTACAAACATGAGAACAAGGAAAATATTTAGGTATAAAATTAAAATTTTAAGCTCCCTTAGATTTATAACTTCTTCATTAAAGAGTCTGCAAACAGCAGCCCATAAAAACTTGTAGCAATTAAGTGGTTAAATGAACTGCCTCCCTTGTCAATTTTCAGGGAGTGATTAATATTAGATCGTCCCTTTACTAATTAGACTCTCCCGTGTCTTACAGCTTTAAAGTCGACTGAAAATGGAGGCTGTGTCCTACCAGGAAGCACGGTGGGGTAATGACGCTTCCCTCGCCGGGCTGAGTTTTCAGCATGGCACCCACGGAAGCGAGGGTGAGCGTCATGGTTTTCCGTGGGAGGTCGGCGGTATTGGGGAGATGGCTTTGCACCGGGCTGGAGGGCACCGCGGATGCCGGGTGCCGCTTCATTACAGGCATTGTTGGCTCCTAGTTTTAAAAGGCTTGCAGGTTGTTACGCGTGCAGCGTGAAATCTACAATCAAGGCCACCGTCTCTTGGCCATTATTCCTTGAGTCCAGGGATGGAGGGTCTGCAGGGGAGGCGAGACTGGGGGTGGCGGGGCCACAGGGCAGGCGGGGCTGTGGGCGGGGAGGCAGGATAAACAGGCACGGTAAAGGGAACGGAGACACGGGCAGGATTTTAGAAGCTGCAGCCTGGGCTGTGGGAGCTGGGGTGCTCCCACCCTGGCTGTGACGGGGAATCCATCAGATGGAGAAATGGAGCAACTGCTTACAAGGGAAATAAAGAGCGGCAGAGACGGAGAATATTTATATGCCCATCTTCTCACTCCGAGAGGAGATGCTTCATCACAGGGGTCGGCCGCGAAATCACACTTTTCCTGACTCCTGAACAGAGAGCAGCTTTTGTTGGGGCCGCAGGGAGGACAATAAGGGTCTCACGGGGACACCGTCCCCCGGGGTCACCACCACCCTCCTGCTGCCCCCGGGGTCACCACCACCCTCCTGCTGCCCAGCCCCGTGGGGGGAGGGTTCCATGCCTCGGACTAATGTGCACGAGCCGGGGATGGACGCGGATGGCAGGGAGTATGGCTGGGGGAGGGCAGGTTGGGCAGGAAGGAGGCTGCTGGCCCAATCGGCGCCAGGAGAGTGACCGCATTCACGTGGGAATTTCTTTATCAGCCACAGCTTTGTTCACTTCGACCCCCCACACCTCAGAGTATCCCTTAGTTGTGAGAGGTTTCATATTTGTCAAGAATTTTTTCTCCCCAAGTCTGCTTGATAGCAGGTAGTGGGATTTTAATCACAACCTTAAAACATGACCTTCCTTGGGCGGGGGGGTCTTTCAAGAAACTTAAGCCAGGCTACAAGCCACCGCTTCTGGGGAATCATGATGCAGGCGGGAACAGAAGCTACGGGGACGAGTGCTACACTCAGGCTGGGGCCGTCAGACCCATGGCCGGGGTGGGGTGGGGGGGCAGCCGGGGGACCTACACAGCAGATTTGGCGTGCTACCCCATGCATTCAGACGCAGACTGTGTCCTCTCCAGCCTATGCCGTTTCCTCCACAGTCTACATGGTCAATGAATGTCCCAGCAAACACCTGGGGTGTACTCACCAACGTGGCAGGGGCCTCTGGTCCACACAGCCAGTGAGCCTTGTCCTGTCCTCCTGCTGGCAGGGCCCTGCGTCTCACGCTCCCTGAAGCTCGGCTGGTATTGGGGGGCTGGAGGTGCACTGCCCAACCACACCTGGGGTGAAACCTGGTCTCTCTCCATCTTTACTCGGGTGATTCTTGGCTGTGGTAGGCTGGGGGGCACTGCGGGTCCCTGCCGTGGGGGGTGGTCCCTGCTTGCGCCGGCAGCTGGCTAACCAAGCCTTGACCAAAGTCAAGGCTGGCAGGGTCACGGGGTTCATTCATGGAATGAACGGTCCCTGTGTTTGAACGGCAGTGATGGGGCATGGGCTTAAATTCAGAATCGGACCCCGGGCAAAGCATGGTAAGTAAAGGTAAAGCTGGCAGGAAAGCAACCCCAGCCCAGTTCTGGGCAGACAGAACACCGTGCAGTCATCAGGGCTTGCTTCAGCGCCCTTCTCACCTGAGACCATGCGAGCCCAGGTCTCTGGGGGAACCTCAGGCAACACCGCATGTCCACACGGGGGGGGCGGCGGGGCGGCGGGGGTAAAGGAGAGAAGCCCCTCCCAGCACAAAGCAGCCTCCATGGACACTGGACTCTCCCTGTTGTTCAGGAAGCCGAGAGCTCGAGGAGGCGTTCGGGATGGGCAGAGACGTGGTTCTGGGGGTGGGACTGCCCCGGAACCCAGAGGGAAGGGGTTTGGCTTAATCATGTAAAATATGACAAAATAATACACAGCAAGCCAAGCAAAGTCCTCCACCAAGACCCCCCCAACCCCCTCCAGGGGCAGCTAGACTTGCTGGGGACGGAAAGGAGCAAAATCATCCCGACCAAAGGGACTCCCAGCTACTCGGGAGCCGAGAACCGGGGCCGGGGGATGGTGGGCCCGGCTTCTCCTCGGCCTCAGACTCCGTGAGCACCGCTGAGTTTAGCGGCGAAAAGGGGAGAATTTCATGTTTATTTATGGAGAGAATTCTCTGCCATTGTTGCCGAAGCTGCAGCCGGTTCACCAGAGCGTGGTATCAACGTACTAATCACCATGAAATGCACGCGGACGGCCGGGGCCAGTAACTTCTAAACCCTCAGATTAAATGAAAAACCGCAGCAATCTTGCCTGCGACGGCATCTGTGATCGTTTTACACCCCACGTAAGGTTCCTACCCTTCCTCACGTCCCCGCTTTGTAACTCCACGTTAATGTCCTTCAGCAGAGAACACAGGCGTGCGTTTTCAGCCCATGACGGGGACAAGAAATAAAGCTATGTGTGGGCAGCTGGGCCAGAGGCCAGCGATAACAGCGAGCACGACTGTGGCCACGGCCAGACCCGTCCTGGGCCCTTCACACGACTCAGACCCCATAAGCGCTGGGTGCGCAGCGTTTTGTTACTCTCCTGATTTACAGAAGAGAAGACGGAGGTTCAGAGCAGTTAAGTGGTGCTGTTGAGACCCGAGCCTGGGCCGGCCGAGCCCAGAAGCCCTCTGTACCCCTCCACGCTCTGCTCAGAGTGCCGGACATCAAGACAGCACATTCTAACAAAATGTGTGTTTGGGTGGCATTTTCGAATTCAGGTTTCTGGTGGCTTCTGCAGGCTGCTCTGAGCCCTACAGGCCTCCCAGAGTCTGCCCCATCCCGGTGACTCAAAGGCCCAGCCCATGTCAGGTGGACCAAGCTCCCTAGCCCCATTGTCCCCAGCAGCCCATGGAGCCGTAGGCTTCAAGTCATAAGGGGCAGGGTTTGGAGTGTGAGCACTGGGTCTCAGTCTTGTCTTGGGCAAGACCTTTCACCTCTAGAGTCTCACTTTCTGCCCCACGAGATGATGGGAAGGAATGACACCCACTTGGTCAACGGTGGGGGTGGGGTGCGGCGGGAGCCAGTGAAAATGCAGGGAGAGCCCCAGCGGAAGGTGAGCACAGAGCAGGTGCTAAAATAGAGCAGGGACGACTCTGGGCAAGGGAAAGTGTGACATCCAGACGGTTGCCTCCCTGGTTCAGCATGTGCCACCTCACAGCTTCCAACCTATGGGGCCGGGTCCCTGTGCTTACACACATTCACGTGGTGTTCCTGAAAACCCTAGGGGGTACATTCTCCCGTTATCCCAGCTTTAAACAGAGAGGGGGTGACCTGTCCCCTGTTGGTGTGGAGCTGGGTTGGACGTCTGTTTGTATGACCTTGTCCATCCTATAGTGGTCACAGGCCATGCCCCTGCTTTCCCCCAGCAGCCAGAGGAAGCCACCCTCAGACGCCTTCTGCATACACTCCCCGGGAACTCCCCACGTAGGACCCCACACAAAGGCAGTTTGCAGAACCACCTATGGCTGTCTTGCTTTCGAGAAGGGCTGATACAGAGCTCCATGGGCACAGGGATCTCTAAGGTAGTCGCCCTTCCTTCCCCCAAGTTTACAGCTCCCCCCACGCCCCCCACCAACCTATAAATGACAATCACGTTGGTCTTTATGATCTGCTGAAAATCAAAGACAAAGGGGGACTTTTTTTGGTCTTGTTTTTGCTATGACAGGTTTAGAAATTTGTTGTACTACGTTGATTCAATTTTCCTTGATTTCGGCCATCTTTCAATAATGCAACCTACTTCTGCTAGCTGCGTATACAGGAGAAAACCCAGAGGAACTGAGAATATTGAAATGGTTCTACCATTTCCATCTTTGAGACAAATGTTCCTCTCAGAGGAGAGCTGGTTGCAAGCATGTGACTGTTTAACGGCCGTCTACACATGGAACACGACACGCACGCACTCTAACGCTGTCTTAGGAAAACAGGGATGATACGGGCGGGTCAGACCTCCGGGTTCATCCCAATATCTCAGCTCTCCTTCCTCAAGAGTTGTCACAGTACCGCAGGCCTGGATTTCTTTCTCTTTGGTTACGCAAACATCCAAACTATGTGGAACCAGGCAGCGGAACGGAGTCTGGCTTCTCGGGCACAACAGAACGGATCCTGATCCTCGCTCTAAATCATTAAGAGGCTCCTTGGACATGTTCCCAAACCTCTACTGGCAGCAAATAGTAGAACCCAAGAAGGAGAGAGAGGAGATTGCGTGCCCATCCCCTACCTCCCACCTTTTAAAACCGGGGGCATTTTACAGCCTGGCTTTCAGAGAACACAAAGAAGTGTCGGTCATAACGGACTTGAAGCAGTGAACACAATCAACGTGAGATTCTTTTTCTAGGGAATAAATCTGAGGGACATGGAAGTGTTTTCCTCCGAGGGGCACTGCACACCTACATCCTCCCCGTTCCTGGGACAGACTCCTATGGGGGACCGGAGACCCCGTGGGGAGCAAGCAGGCCCAGGCCCCACATGCTCGCTCTCTGGGCGGCATGCTTACCTCCTTTTCAATTTCTGCCAGAGATTTGATGGTAATTCCCAAGAGATCAAAGGGCTGCATCTGCAAATACAGATCAAATCCTTTTAAACAGTTGGAAAATGCTGTTTCACATTTGCTTTTATGCATAACAATTGTGACCCCTCAAACCACCCTATGTGATCTAGCATTTTCTCTACCCTCTTTCAAAGGGAAGCCCACCACTGTGACTCTAGTGATTACGAGCAACGTAAGCAAACGTCCCAGAAAACCCGGCTGACAGCAGGGCCGGTCCCTTCTGGTGGGGACCCTTGCTGAGTCATCTGTGGGCAGCCCCGGGGAGGGTGCCAGCCCTCCTGAGAGATGGTGCCAGGCACTGGTAACTTCTGTCTCTCCTTTCTCCCTGCCTGGGTCAAAAGCCGGTTTTCTCCTTCTGCAGCTGAAGGGATGGAGGGGCATGAGGCGAGGCCACGGCCGTCCTGACTGTGGCATCTGGCAGTGGGTTGGGTTAAGGAACTGGGGGCGGGAATTCTGGGTCTTCGAAGATGGAAGGTGAGTGAAAGAACCGCCCATCGATGGTCATCTGAGAACTCAATGGTGGTGAAAAATGCTATCACTGCCTTTTAATGGGTGTTTCTAGAATTTCCTGATGACGGGAGCCTTCTCTGAAAATGCTGGCTTTCCCACAGCTAGCCGGAAAAGCCAAGTTCACGAGGCAACAAGTCAGCCGGCGGCACAGAGAGCCCGGGGCTGGATGCACGGTGAGAGGTAAGAGGTCAGTGGCAGCCCATCCCTGAGGCCCCCGCTCGGAGCCCCTCAGCATTCTGTATTCCCGACAGGAGCCAGCAACTGGCAGCTGGGGACGAGCAGGTAAAACTGGGGTCCCGGACAAAACCCCAGGCCCTCATGGTTCTGAACCGCAGCCCAGAGCCCAAGTGGAGCCGAGCCCGCAGGGATGTCCTGCCAGGTGCACGAGAAAGGCCAGCTCCCCAGTCCACGGACCTGGATTCAGAACGGGGCAGCTGTGGGTTAAATCACGGCCTCACTTCCTCTCCCGCTCAGAGCAGCGTGGCTGGGTTCTTGGGGCCGTGCCGCCGGGAGGGGGAACTCGAGAAGGGCATGGAGGTGCACGGCACTGGGCTTGGCCGGAGCTGCTGAGAGGACAGTGGCACGTGCGCGAGGGCGACCTTGGGACAGGGCCAGCGCATGAGCCGCTCGGCTCCCGGGACTGCTCTGCCAGTGGCCACAAAGCAGTGTGGCTCTCTCCGCTGCCAGCCCGAGCGGCAAGCACGGGGCCGCTTGCCCGCCGTCCAGCAGAGGCCCAGCTGTTGCATCATTAGGCTCTAACCGCCCCACTAAACTTTCCCGACTGGAGCTGGTGCGTAGGACAGAGCAGCCTCTCCCAGGGAGCGGGCGGGAGAGGCGCCAGCGTCGTCATGGCAACGCGGCCAAGTGGCGTCGGCTGAAGTTACTCATGCTCCGCGTGTCACGTCACGAGCATTTTTCAAGATTAAGCTGCTTACCAGAAGGGTTCAGAGGAGGCCTATTACATTTCATGAAAATGGAAACTACAGAGCAGGTCAAATCGCAAGCCGGGTGGTTTTAAGCTGGATCCAAGAAATACACTAAAGGATTCTTTAGCTGGTGCCCAAAGCGGGGCCCTCATGGTTATTAGCTGCTCATGACAAACTTCTGCAAAAAGGATAAAAAAGACCCAGAAACAAGCTTATTGAGCCAGCATGGCCTGGGCCTGAATAGCTGGGTGGGGAGGGTGGGGTCGGGCAGGGGATTCCCACCCGGGGGGCAGGGCCGTCTGAGAGAAGGTCCCCGGAGTGCACAGCCTGTGGTGGGCGCCCCTCTCAGTCCGGGTTCTGGCCTGTGGGCCCGGCCAGCTCATGCCACCCCTGTGTCATCATAGGCGGCTCAGGGGCCCCAGCTGGCTAGTGCGTGTCGTGGGGTGCCTGGAGGCCTGCAGCGAGTGGGCGACCACAGCTCTGGGCACACACACTTGTCAGCCAGCCCTGCCGCTCGGAGGCCTCCCTCAGATTGAGAGCAGAGCGTGGTTATCACAGAATCCAGCCAATTACAATGAAAAAAAGGAGGCAGGCTTCTTTCAGCAAGATGTTATCACGGTTAAATAAAAAAGAACAAAAATTAATTACATTGAACTTGGAAACCAAGAACATTCACAACTAGTGAAGTTCAGCCCCATTTACTGTCACATTTGAAACAAAAAGGCCCTGTTGTGGCCAAATCGGGATCTGTCTGCTTGTCCATCTCGCTGCCTCCCCACGCCTCATCCCTGCCCTCTGTCACTCCTCCAGCACCCACTGTGTGCAGTGTTAGCTGGAGGGGCTCAGACAGGAAGCCCTGTGGTCGGGACAGTGCGAGGGTGGGGGGCGTGTGTGCTGAGCAGGGGTGTGCGGGCTGGGGCAGCCATCACGCAGGACCATCACGCAGAACACTTACACTTTCTGGAACGCAGGAAAACTTCTCTGAGATCATGAAAGGCACACCGTCCATTGCTGTAAAAGAACAGAAACAGAGAAAATGGCATTGCGGATGCTGGCGGTGCTCGGAGGCCGGAGATATTGGCAGGACAGGCCCACGTGGGCCCCGGTGAGTGGGGACCCCAGGGGCTCCAGCCCTGCACCCAGGACATACACCTGAGCGCCTCACCAAAGTGCAGACCGAGCTGTGGGGGCAGAGAGGGCTCCAGAGCCTGGTGTCTGCTCTCTGACCTGTGGGGGTGCTCCTGAGGGGCTGGCAGCAGGGGGAGGTGGGGGGAGGTGGGGACAAAGCTGTGCTCTGGGAGGTGGGCAAGGAGCATGCTTGGGAGAGTTCTCTCCACGGAGAAGGACGCCATGCCCCAGGCTGCCAGGCCCATAGAGAAGGTCTAGGTTGGAGGAGAGAGTGACTTTGGAGTCAGAAATACTGGGTTTGAATCTTTCAGTAAGGTTACGTTATGTTTAGAAGGAGGATGATGGGGGGCGCCTGGGTGGCTTAGTCGGTATCAGGGGCCCGGGATAGAGCCCTGTGTTGGGCTCCCTGCTAGTCCTTCCTGCTCCTGCTCTCTCTTGCTATCTCTGGCGCTCTTTCTCTCAAATAAACAGAATCTTTTTTTTTTTTTTTTTTTTTTAAAGGAGGATGGCAGGGCCCATGAGCAGGGGTGTGTGTGAGCTGGAGATACATGTGAGCAGGGGTGCGTGTGAGCAGGGGTATGTGCGAGCTGGAGGTGCGTGCGAGCTGGAGGAGTGTGCAGCGTCAGGCACAGAGCAGGTTGGGGGGCCACACACAGCTAGCATGGTTCCCTCTCTATCTCCTAGTCCTGGGCTTCACAGTGGCCTCAAGGCACCAGGCTGCTCGAAGGGGGACATCAGAGAAAGACGGGAATGGGTCCCTAGCAAATGAAAACACGGGGTCGGTGGAGCAGTCCCCTTCCCACGGCCCGCAGGGAGATGATCTTCCTTCCCATTCTGCTTTGGGAGGACACGGGGAAAGCCTGATGAGAGGGTTCCCTGGGAAGTCATGTTCTCTGTTTCCCCCAACATCTAAGATGGGGGTTTCTCTGGTACACAAGCAGCAATTTCTTCCAGTCCTAAGAAAGAAGAGTTGCAGAAGCAAAAAAAGAAGAAAGACAGGAGAAAAATAAGAGAAGGAGAAGTCTGGGACTAATCCTCTCCAATCAGCAAGCTGAGCCCAGTAGCTCATTTTAAGCAATGATCATAATGTGTTTCAGGAAAGGAAAAATGAAGCCTCCTCCAGTAAGTCTGAAGAAAAGGAAATAGCACAGCTGGCCCCAGCTGTTGCCCTGGAAGCCTCCTTTCTTTGGAAGGCTGCTGCCTAAGGTCTGGGCCTGGGCCCGGGCATAGACATCCACAGTTGGGGGCCTTTTCCCATCTTGGGCCCCTGTGAGCTACCGGGACTGCCTGGGGGAATGCTGGCTAAGGGCCAGGAAGTATGACACTTCTCCATAGGAGGTGGGGAGGAAGCCCACGGTAATTTTCAGCCCGTCACACGTGCAGACATACGAGTGACATTGGGGTACACGTGCGTGCTTGTTCATGCATGGCTGGGAAAAGCCATCCCTAAACAGACAACCCTTGAAAGGCCACAAGCCTTCTAGAGAGGGACAGGACGGGGTCCCACCCAAGGTCCAAGAAGAGGCCACACTCCCTTCGCAGCAATTGCCACCATCTGCCCAACTCCGGGTGTGGGCCAAGGCCTATCCCACATGGCACTCTGCCTGACACCCAACCCTCTCCTGGTGCCACAGAGATGCACGGGCAGGTGCCACTCAGCATCTGCCATCATTTCACAGACTGGGGCCTGCTGAGGGCACTCAGGTAGCAAGCAGGGATGCCAAATCCTCTGGCCCTTCCACTGGGTATAAATGGAATTTTTGAGAACAAATCTGCCTTTTCCAGACCAGGACCTTTCAGGTTTTGATGGCCATTACCACGTCCTCCCGAAATCTCCAGGCGTCCCTTCCAGCAGCTCCTTCTGATCAGACCTCCAGGCCAGGAAGTGGGCACGTGCGCAAAGAGCCCAGTCAGACCTGCCACCACCTTCTCCCCAAACCCGCTCCTCCCCGCACCTCCCAGCTCACCAGTCACACGCCAGCCTGCTCCTGCCCGTCCCTAGTCCAGGGCTGTAGGCCACAGCCTACTCTGCCTCTCCTTTAAATCTCACAACCCGGGGCGCCTGGGTGGCTCAGTGGGTTAAGCCTCTGCCTTCGGCTCAGGTCATGATCTCAGGGTCCTGGGATCAAGTTCCGCATCAGGCTCTCTGCTTAGCAGGGAGCCTGCTTCCTCCTCTCTCTGTCTCTCTCTCTGCCTGCCTCTCTGCCTACTTGTGATCTCTATCTGTCAAATAAATAAAATCTTAAAAAAAAAAATAAATCTCACAAGCCCATGGCTCTCACCTGCCAGGGCCACGGTGCTCTCCGTACGCACCTCTGCACACACACACACACTCTTTCCCGCTTCTTTCCGCCAGCTAGACAGATGGCGGGGCCCACGGCTGAGCTCCCGCCGCTCGCCCCATGGGCTGTGCGCAGGAAGCCTGCTGATCTCGTGCCTGGCGAGGAGTGTTCGGCGAGCACATCTGCACACATCCCGGCCCTGCGCACCCCTGATCAGTCACTCACTAGGTTTGCTGTTTTAAAGACCGTATTAGTGTCTGCCGGTTCCTGAGAAGAGAGGTCAAGGACTCCCTGTCGCTGCTGACTGTGCTCCGTCTGAACGTCTGTGTGTGTTTAGAGAACTCATGTCCTGAAGGGGAAGTGGGGTGACTTTCCACGGCCTGATCATCCCCCGCTCCGGAAATGAGAGGCCCGGGGAGCACGGAGAGCAGGAGGGAGGCAGAGAGGTGGCTCCATCCGGTTCGAGGCTGGCAGCCACACCAGCGCCCCGCACAGCAGGATTCCCAAGGGGGGGTCCTCTGTGGCACATAAGGGTCTGCAACCCCTTCACGGAAGGCCCTTCCCCTCACACTCCTTATGTTGACACCTGACTGTCCTCCTGAGGTCCGCTCCGAGTGCCTCTCCTGCAGTGAGCTTCCCAGAGGCGCCCCCGCCCCCCACTGGGTCCCTGGCCACATCTCTCCGGCAGTGGGCTTCCCCGCAGTCCATATGTGAGTCGCTGCTGCATTTCCACGTCCCTGGCCAGGGCCGGGTCTGGAGGGGCTCAGGGGAGCAGGGGCAGGAGGGTGGTAGCTCCCCCAGAATAGCCCTGAGCAGGGGGGCTCAGCCTGGGGCGTGCACCTCACCCCCTGAGGCTTCGGTGAGCCGTTGCCAAAACCCACGGGTTTCTGGAAGGAGTCTGGGTATCACCTCTAGGAACTGGGGAGATTTCAGCAGGGAGGAAGGATATTTTGATACTTAAAAGAAATTTTTTTAGCACATCAGTAACAATTTAGTACATTTTGTTGAGCTAAAATTCGCACAATACAGAATTCATTTGAGAGTGAACGTTTCAGCGGCATCTGGTCTATTCATAATGTTGAGCGAGTACCATCGTTCCCCAGTCCCACAGCATGTCCCCTGCTCCAGAGCAACACCCCGCCACTCAGTACTTTCCCTCTGTCCCCCTGGGAGTGTGTGTTCCTATCTCCTTCCAACTGATGGCCAAATCTTTGAGAAAGAAAGATCTAGAAAGAGAAGACCGGCTTTCTGTACCGTGGTGGCCCGCTTGCATTTCAGCCTCGAGGGCTATGACGGGGGAGGGGCTTGACCCTTGGGACCTGGAGGGCTGTAAAAAAAAAATTGAGGAGAAAAAGACCCAGAAAAGGGGACTTGTAAAATCTGGATACTAACAATAGAATTTCTGGGGTTTATGTGTGTGTGTGTGTGTGTGTGTGTGTGTGTGTGTAATAAAAATACACCTTTACATCATGCCTGTTTATAGAATGCATGCATGTTTATAGAATATATAAATAAATGTTTTGACATTATATATGTGTATGTATGTGTGTACATATGCATATACACGCACACACACAGCATTTCCCAAAGGCCCCGTCTTAGCTTCTAAGACAGACTAGAGGAAGGGAGTAGAAGACACAGCCATATCCCATAGAATTTCTGAGTGGCGGGAAGTCGGTCTCATTCAGAGGTGCCTCCTGTTCACCTGTGGCCCCTTCCCCACCACCTCATTCCTCTGGTGAAATCCTCACTCCCAGACCTGGAGAATGGTGGGATTTGTTGGGATCAAGGGCCAGTCCCCCACATGAACAATGAAAGAGTTTGGTGAAGGCACGCCTTCTGGTCCCTGCTGGGTAGGCTCAAAGGCAATTTCTTCACAGACCAACTTCTTGAGGGGGCTGAAGGCAGAAGACCAGAAGCAACATCCTTATGGGATCACACCAAAGGCAGCCCTTTTGGAGAAGAAAGGGAGGAGGCACCCCCGAGACTGTGTTGGAGAGGCAGCAGTGGCCTTCAGGGTGCCCTCCTGATGGGCTTGGTGGCAGAAGAGATGGTGGGGAGGACCACTCAGACCCAGCCTGACCCCCAAGGGGGAACTGCCTGGTGATGGGAAAGAGATGGGAACTTTGGGACAAATTTCACTTTATCTTAAAGTTCATGATAGAAAGATAAGCACAGTCAGTTCCTTCTCATATTCTCTTAGAAAACAGACTTTAATAGTCTTGGATGAAAAGAAAGTGAGTTGATAGGGTCCTTTGGGTAAAGATTTGCTAGACAGATAGTCTGCTGGCCAAATTTCGTTTACTTAAAAAAATTTAGCCCAACAAAGATTATGGCAGGCTGAAAGAATGTGAATTTTAGCAAAACATTTGACAAAACTTCTCATGTTACCCATGTGGAAAAAAGATAAATACGGCTAAACAATGTTAACAGGAGGAGAATCCGTAACTGGTTGGACTAGATGCTCAAGAAACTGATTCTTAGATAGATGTTGACCTCAACCGACCTCTCTGGAGGGTACCAGGGCGTTATCAGTTAGTTCAATGGAGATACACACAGCCCATCTCAGATGTGGCCAGTGGGGAGTCTGGGAGGACAGTC